TCAGTAATTTATTGCATTTTTCTTTTCTTGATAAGCAAAGATAAATGTATGATCTGTAGAAGATCGAGATTTTATCTCACCACTTTCTACGTATTAATTTTTTGTTAGCAGAAAATGCAATTAATTGCATCTATTAAGCATCAGTTTTTTCTGAATTTAAATGATCTCAATAATTAATGATTCCGAAACTGATATGACAAGCGAAAGTGGAACCATAGATTGTTTCACCTACATTATAGAGTATCAGCTTACTGCAGTGGTTGATTGATAAATTCTTGACATTTATACATGGCTTATCTCTCGACTTTGGTCGAAGGTGACAGACAATATTCGTTTGCAATGGACGCGATATTAACCACTTTGCGGCCGCTAACTGATTGGCAACGAAAATTCCACAGTACAAAGTACAAACTGCTCAAACTCTTTAGATTAAAATAAAATAAAATAATTAGATTATCGGTAAGGTAAAATATTTGTAAAATATGTCCGTGATAATGATATTATTATGATTTTTTGCTTGAATAGACCAAGCTGGAATATTATCCGTAAGATGTCAGAAAAGAAACATAAACTTATTTTCGTGCACTCATTAGCAAAAAAATAGGTTTCTATTTATAACACGGATTATGATCCTTGTATGTAACGCCTACTAAATTCTGTGACAGTGTATGAAAGTCTGTTACAGTTTTATTATAGTGTGTAACGTGAGCGGGCTAACAAGGCGGACATTAGCCGAGGGTTTGCAATTTTGCATCAGGTCGCGTTGTCATTCCGTCAGTGTCGCGCGCTGTTTTGTCGATCGCGACGACGCTTGCCCTGAATAGGAATGAACGTTGATGTACTGAGGATGTACTAGCCCAGGGTTTCTCAAAGTGGTTCGCCATTTGACGGTATGGGGTTCGCGACAAGATATACGTAATGGCAGCTTGATGACTGGCAGGCACATGAGTCACACGCGGCACACATGGTGGCCTTATAAAAACCTTCTTTTCGTCAATGGTAAATTTTATTAGGTATTTTCTTTAGTGGGATTTAATTAGTTATGGGGTTCGCTCTCACCTAGAAACTTTAACATGGGTTCGTGGAGCCGAAAGTTTGAGAAACCCTGTACTAGACTATGCCCACAGCTTCCTTCACAGCGAAGGCCCGTGTTGTATATAGGACACTCAAGAACTTTCAACTTCAAGTGTCCCGTTTAAAAATACGAGCTCAAATAGTTAATTTATGATGTAAAGTTGACAACACTTAAAACACTGACTTCTTTCTTCTTTAAGGTTGCATCTATCTCTGTACAAAAAATCATCAAAACATTCAACGTGACCGTTAAAATTATTTTAGTTTTTTGATATCGACTGTTAACGGGTTAAATGGAGTTGTTTGTTTGGATTTCTGGACGCGCTATATTTTATTATATCGCGTTTATTAAACTTTCTGAAACGAACTATACTTACACAATATGAGCTTAAAAATACTTAGGAAGGCTGATTCTAGTCTTATAATCACGCATCACTTTAAGATCCTTGAAACGAGAATAGCCGAAGATGTTTGTTGACTATTATTTAGGTATAATAACTATTCATCACAACATTGTATTCTTTCCACATTCATACCTTTTGACATTCCATTGTATGTTAAACATACAGCTTTCAATACCGACTCAACTGAATAAACATTGTGACACTGGTGTTTATTAATTAATTAGTTAAACAAAAACAATATCCATGGACATTCATCTACCTCTTATAGCAAGTACTAAACTCCTGCCTATCGAAAAGTTAAACAGACTAATATCAAAGTTTTTTCTATGCTAATATTATGTACCTACGTTTTTAAAAACGTATAGAAATGCACAGTCGATGTGACATCAGACTAAATGTTTTGAAAAATCACATCTGTACGCCTAAGATGCGCGCCGCGATAAGCGGTTATCACGCCATTTTATAGATTTTACTCATAAATTTTGACGTCGATAAAGTATATCACGGCGCGCATCCTAGCCCGGCTGGTCTGTTGGAACTACATAAGATTCCATAGTGCTAGTAGGTATATATTACATGCATCTAGGTACGTAAGATTCTTACAGTGTTTATCTCTATTATGTTGTGCCGTCTGCGTCCGTACTGCGTTCGTCTAGGTAGGTAAATAAATTGTGTTTTGACAACATAAAACCGCACAGCTACGTTACATACACGATGAGCTCCGTTGACGTATTTTAGTGACATTCCATTGAAAACCGAATACCTCTGGCATTTCTCCTCGTATAAATAGCTTGTAACCTTTAATAACGAAATGTTACATTGTTATGTACTGACGTCAAAGATTTTGCTGAGAAAATGTAGTTGGAAATTGCTGGGTTTATTAATTAACAATGAAGACGCAATTAAATTAACGAACGCATCCCACCTGGCCAGCGTTGAAAGTGTATTAAGTCAAATCCTCATTTTACATCTGGCAAATTAGTGAGAGTCGTTCCAGGAGACTAAATAATGAAGGATGCGATTAAACCTTATAAACGACTGTTGAACACTTGTTTAAATTGTCATTTAGTATGGAAATGTCATTTTAAACCAATGTTCAACGTGTGTTTGACTTTTTTGTAATAAGGCCCTTTATGTCTTAAGATTAAGACGTTATTTCGCAGAAAGTTCGGATTAAAAAGCATTAAATTTTCCCTGCGTGATCGAATCAGAAATGAGGAGATCCGCAGGAGAACCAAAATGACCGACATAGCTCGCAGAATTGCTAAAATCAAGTGGCAGTGGGCGGGGCACACATAGCTTGTAGAAACGATGGCCTGATGAAAGTTGGGGCAGAAAATATTTCGAGTGGCAACCAAGGGCTGGAAGTCGTAGCGTGGGCAGGCCTCCTACTAGGTGGACCGAAGATCTGGTAAACGTCACGGGAAGAACCTGGATGCGGGCAGCGCATGACCGTTCATTGTGGAAAACCTTGGGGGAAGCCTTTTTCCAGCATTGGACGTAATTTGGCTGAAACGAACGAACGATTAAATAAATGATTATTATTACATTTATTATTATGCAGACTTTTCTCTGTCTGAAAAGTTCAAAGTTCACGAGAATTACTTCCATCCGATAACTCAGCAGCTATGAAGCGACTGAAATGGGTAAATTAAAATCCATGTTCCATTTGCGTCTCAGTGATTTAATCCCACTCTAAATTCTTTAACTATTCGGCCCACATTTTAGTCCCTTTTCGTCCCTACTATTAAGTACCTACATATTAATTGTGTTATTAAAGTAAAGCTATTTTGGTGGAAAACTAGTACCTATTTTGAAATTAATTTATCCTAATAAATTCTTCTCAAAGAATTTGAAGCATCATGTCTCATGAAATGTGACATTGACCGATACACTGTGCCCTAGCCCCTAATTTTCCATTTTAAAAATTCTAATATCTGAACCGTAACTGGTATAACATTATTCTAATATCCGTAACCGTATCCATAAGCGAAACTTTATATCCTCAACATCCCTGGTCCAAAGCACAACAAATAGTGACGTCAGTCGACGCCGGTCCGCTGCACCGCGCGCGCGTGGTCCGCCCTAGCCGGGTCCACGTGTTGCATATCGATTGGACTCCGGGACGCTTGCAGTTACTGTAACCGTGTTAAGGGAAACTTTTCAATTTGACCTTGACGCGTGCATTCAATTAATGTCATAAGTTAGAGATTTGTGGATAAGGTCAAGCATGTTTCCGATTCAGGTTCGCGCACACTTGTTGTTGTATATGCGCTGTAATAGATAGGTACTGGCAATTTTTCTGATAATATTGATACTGCTCTACAGTAGGCGCGTGAGTTCATGTCCATCGGGGCCTTACTTACTTACTTATTTACTTATACTTACTTATAAGTTGCAAAAAATATGGAATAACTAGATAAGGTTGACCTACTTAATTGGTAATAATTATCGATATTGACATTAGCATAATTAGTTAGGTAACAGCATTACCGCATTCCTCAGGATGGACATGAACTCGCGCGCCTACTATATTGTATGTAATGTAGTGATTTGAGTGAGCTTGTATGATGTCAAAGTTAACTGTTTAGGATACTATAACACTTCAGTCTCCGTTTGGATTCACTTTTTACTGTAATATGTATTTACAAAATGCCACTATTTGCGCAGTTACTTTGGTCTAACGTAGTCTACGTTATCTTTAGACGTAGAAACGTTTTTTTATCCACCTAAACTTACAAACCTTCACAGGTTAGTTCAGTGAAACGAACGCATCGTTAAGGTAATCGTTCGTTCTATCAATAAAGTAATCGTTAAAATTGACAACTTGACAACATTTACCGCATGTATTTAACTTAGAATAAACTTGGCAACCCCATTTTGTTGTGAATCTCTCTCTCCAATGAATTATCTCCAGGTCGCCGAAGATTCTCTTCGCAACTCTTGGTCTGTAATTCAGCAAGTCGGCTGCTTGGCGTTCATCCAATGCGGGCTTATTGTGCTCTCTCACGTGCAACTTGTGGGGCACAGACGATTCGCTTGCGCCAAATTTCATAACTTTAAGCAAACCTTTTAGGTGCTTATTACTTTAAGTTTGGCAAAGATTTATCACAGTGAATTCAGTTGTATTGTAAGCCATTAAATAACAAAAACACAGAGTTTTCGGATAAATCCAGTTTATTTTGTAACCTATTATTGGTACCGTTGGATAGAGCTCGTGAAGCACTTTCAGGATCAGTAACCAGTTTTTGGATATCTTGTTAGTTTATAAATAATCGAATGAGATCACTTATCGTTTCCTCCCTGTATAGCCATTAATAGCCAGCGCCAATCATATCCCATATTATAATTCAGGGCTAAATTGCATTTATCAATCTTATCGTATTCGCGTATCTTGCTATAATCGCAACATGGGTCCCTCCCTTGCCTTGACGTCAATTTATCAGTCAAGAGCTACCGTACTTAGGAACTCCTTATACCTTATCAGCCACAATCTAAACGTGTATTTTTGTTTGTCCACAGATGGGAGCAGGCGCGAACGGGCCAGGCGGCCGACGCGCCCTGGAGCTCATCCTTAGCGGAGGCCTCAAATCGCTTGCGAGGCCGGCCAAGCCGGTCCGCCGGGCCGCCTCGCGGGACTCGGTGCTGTCGCAGCCGCAGCCTCTGCTTGAAGGTGAGGGGAGCCATAACAATTGTGACTGATCGCCTACAAATTTTACCTAATAGCTCAACCTCGGCGGAGGCCTCAAACCCTCGTGAGAGGATCTATGCCGCGTGGGCAGTATCAACAGCCTCATATCATAAGTCGCGTGGGAAATAACAACCTTATAGCAGGCGCCTATAGCTCATCCTAGTGGAGGCCTCGAGTCCCTCGCGAGACCAGCCGCAGCTGGTCCGCCGGGCCGCCTGGACTCGGTGCTGTCGCAGCCGCAGCCACTGCTTGAAGGTGAGGGGATCTGATGTAGAGTGGGCAGTAACAGCCATACAAATAGTCGGGGACCATAGCACATCCTTAGCGGAGGCCTCGAATCCCTTTTGATGCAGGCGTAGCCTGAATAGTTGCATTCTTAGCCACTGCTTCAAGGAAATACCGTTTTGACTCTCAAGGTACAAGTCCAAGATGGCTACCACGGTTTCTTCTTCACCATCTTGGTGTTGTACCTTCGGTCTTGTTGAAAAACTGGTTATACATTATACTGTGTTAAGGTATACGGAGAGCCACCTGCCTTCACCCTCTGCTTTCCACTCCGACATTCAAAACAGCTTCCTTCCTTCGTAAACATAATTCCCACATTCGCAATGCAATAAACATTGATTTATTAATCACTTGTACACTTTATAGCATTGGGGCGTCTCAGAGAAGCATTCCGTATCACCCTACAGTCGGCATTCTTGTGTTTATGTACACATACTTAATGCAAACGACGTTAAAATACTATCACTGCTCTTCTCGAGCCAAAAAATGTTGTAAACTTGCCGCGGATTGCTAAAAGTGTGTCTTAAGATACAGCGTTTTCAAGTATAAGCGAATTGGGTAGTTTCCGTTATAGTCTTGTACATTCCTAGGGGGCCATCCATAAAGTACGTCACACGAATTTCATGATTTTTTGACCCCTCCCCCGTCCTTGTCACAGGTGGTCACATTTCTGAGACCCCCCCCCTCCCTAGTGTGACGTCACATGTTTTGCAATTTCACATCGAAAAATTATTAAATTAACAAAAACCCTGGTCTTCCTAATATAAATAAATAAAAAAAAATAGCAACAAATAGAAACAATAAAATCACGCGCGAGGTACGGTGCATTTGGCGGCATTATAGGCCAGTAGAATTAGATTTTAAATCTGAAATAATTCCTACAAAAGATTTTATTAATTTAATGGCTTCATTGGTTGCCCATTAAAACTCTCCTAGGTTTTCGACTTCGACTTAGTTGTGCTTAAGTGGTGGGGGTATTTTTCAGTTTAATTTATATTTCAAATTACGTGATTAGTAGGACCTCTAGATATATTAGATTTCGAAATGTGATGTCACAAAACTTAGGACCCCTCCCACCCCTTGTCACACCATGTCACACTTTGTCGACCCCCTCCCCCCCTCTTTAAGTGTGACGTACTTTATGGATGACCCCTAGAGACAAAACCCATTTGTTTTCTTAAAAAGGTTCATGTCATATTACTTATAGAATCTTGTTTGTGAAAAGTGCTAGAATGGCAATTGATGTAATCTTATAAATCTTGTATTGTTTATTTATTAAAGCTTAAATAGTGCAGTGATTTCTTACGTAGAATGACCCACAGCAGCACAGCACACACGTTTATCCGATGACATGCTGGCTCTATATATTCCTATTTAAAGGAAATTAATGTTTTGTAATCTCCATTTCTCGCAGTGTTTGAGGCTGCGCCCTAAAGGTTTGTTATCTTCGCTCACACCCTGGGGCACTGAATAAATATACCCTCACCTGCGACCCTTGGCACTATAAACGCCGTTCCTGAACTAAGGTTCTCCAAGTTAATCTTGGCTGTTTGTATTTTGTAGCGAAACTGCGTACTTTGATCCAGAGGGGAGCATGGAGTTGCTGAATTATTGTTAGGCTTTGGAATAACATACTTTTTTATTTATTTTAATAATTAATAATTAGTTAAGACTATGTTCATGCCTGAAATATGCCTCTATTCTTATATTTTCTGACTCTAACGCAATAAGTTTTAATTTGTTCATCTCTTCTGGGAATTTGAACTAGTACCTCCGGAATCCGTCCTGAATCTCGAACTCTTTCTTTAACCACTGGAATACGGCAATTCATTCATTGAGTTTGATAAAGCGATGTCTAATGCTAAAAGCCATAAATTGTTATGATATAAGAAGACCATCTTCGTTCCGCTCAATCTGAATCTGAATCTGTTTTTAACCGAGTACAACAAAAATACTTCTCAATTCGCTTGGTATTTTCATTTATATGTAATCCATTCATAATAAGTAGGCACTTTTTTTTTCGTCAGGAAATGCATGAAATTGCATACCCACTGGCCCGGGGGAACCAGTGGGTTATGTGAGGCTCTCCCTGCCAGGTGGGCAGGGCCTACTCACTAAAACCTGACGGTGTCCTCCCGAAGTCTTTGGGACGGAGCTGCGAGTTATTGTCCGAGCTAGACAGGGGAGTAGTACCTCCCCTGTTCTTCACTAACGGTGCGCGTGAACACATACGCGCGCCGCCGCCGCCGCGGATCCTCCTTTAGCGGCCACCAAACACCCCCGTGTCTAGTGGCCGAGGACCCTTAAATAATAAGTAGGCACTTACTTAATGCTGTTTGTTCGCCATCCATGACAAGCCACTTCAGATGCAGTTACCATGTATTTATTAAAGGATGTGGTTTTGTCCGCGTATAACGTTTCGCTCTAGGTCGCGTTGTTGGCCTATTGTTTTTGAACAATAGACGCGATGCATTGTCTGTAGCGGGTAAGACGCATGTCCTTTTGTGCATTATGGTTACTAGTCGTATAACCAGTACCTAACGATATTTCTTAAATTCTCGATTCGTGTGCGCTAAGGAATATAAAATGCCTCTAGGGCCATGAGGAGGGCAGCTTACCCCTTGCAGATTCGCTTCGAAGGACCTAAGTTAAATGATCTGACCTAAAAGATCTGGGTATGACTAACTCCCCCTACGCCAGAAGCTGGGTATGACTTGCCTCCCCTAGGCCTCAGAAGCTGGTTACTCCCATGTTAAGGGCTGAAGTTGCGTTTGATATAGGATTGTGTCAATTTAGATTTTAACTATTTCAACATTATCTTATCATTAAGTCTTTGAATCTGCATTCTGCACTGCAGGAGCAAGACCCTCTAATTTATCAGTAGCAAAAGAAGGACGACTATTTTTACCCGACTACGGCAAAGCAAAAGGAGGGTTATGATTTTGACAGGCTATGTATGTATGTATGTATGTATGTATGTATGTTCATGTGTACCCTCGTAACTTCTAAACTACTTATCAGAATTCGACAAATGACATATCATTAGAAGCGTCTTAATTGTCCGCTGGTTATAGGCTACATGGGCTTTCACAAAATCTAATGTGGCGCCCTCTAGCGGACAAAACATAGAGAGTAAAAAAATAAAGTTAAGATAAATATGCCGTGTTTGGTATCATTTGAAAGCGCTTTACTTGTACATTTCGAATATATATAATATATGTATATTACTAGCATTTGCTTGTGACTTTACCTGTATTCATGGGCTGATTGCATATAATTCACATCTATTCGTTCATAGCTTCTTTACTACTTATTAGTTCATCAATTTAACTTTTGGTAATATTATGCGCCACAAATACACTTTATCACCAAAATAGTACAAATAATAAAAAGTAAAAAAACTAAAACCCAACTACCACAAAAAACGACGCTGAAAAAGTATAAAACAAGATTTTCAGAATACTGAACTGAACAAAGTTGCTAATGTAGTTGCATAGTAATTTTCATGTTTGGAAAACCGCAGTCACACGTTGTCAAAGTGCTACGGTAGGTAGGTACTTGTATTATGTAACGTGTGACTACGCCTTTCCAAACATGAAAATTACTATGCAACTACATTAGCAACTTTGTTCAGTTCAGTATTCTGAAAATCTTGTTTTATACTTTTTCAGCGTCGTTTTTTGTCGTAGTTGGGTTTTAGTTTTTTTATACATTGAAAGAAGGTCCGATTAGAAAGCTTTTGTTACTTACATACATCGAAAGTGTTCCTAAATCCTACTTGTTTTGTTAATTATACGCTATGCGTACCTACGTGCCACTTACAATACAGACAATAATACAAATCATTTAGAAACGGGAGACGTGGGCTATTCATTTTGATTAATTAATTCTTCATCGCTACACCATGTAAGGCGGAGATGTTTGAAAGCTAAGGTCAGGAGTGAGGGCAAGGGCTAAATGCTTGGGCATACAGTCTTCAGCATATCAAACTATATTTTGTTGCAAAATAGCACCTATTTATAAGTTCATAAGATGCCGTTGGGCTTAGCTTGGTGTGCTATATCCTCTGACTCTGTACATGGCAGTATAATGAAGTATGTACCTACCCACCTGTTATTGTGTTACTTGACCAGCTAGTGACGAGTTAAGATAGTGTGGATAGCTATGGACGTGCTAAAGAATACACACTGATGACCTGAGAACATAGTAGACCCTTTTTGGGAGTTTATTTATAGAAAGGGGCTTCCAAATAATTAGTTATATTTTTACTTAGGATTGTTGCATCCAGTCTACCATAGACCATAGGCATCCACTATGATCGTGGATCTGTGGACTAAGTGCGAGTTTACATCACGCTTACTAGTGAGCGCGTTTAAAAAGTGTTTGAAAATTTTAGCTTTTGAACGTCTCCCGCTAGGGGCGCTGTACAATCCGTCATACATTTAATGTCATTTTTTGAGTAGGCCCTCTGGAATCGGATACATTTTGCAGTTCTGAACACTCTTCTGGCACGGTAATAATATCATACAGTATTGTAACTTCATATAAACCGAAGAAACGCGAGCTTTCCTTCGAATTTCAAATCTCGGAACGTGGTCGAAATCCCAAAGTTAGGGGTGTCGCGAATGTGCCGAACGGACGTCGATGGCCTAGTGTTGAAAATGACTAAGGTGATTGAATTTGACTGACCGTCATTTACGATCTTTGTCAAAAACTAGTCATTAACTGTCAGAAATTGTCAATTCAGTCAGTTTGATTTGAAATGAAAATTATATATTGTATAAAACCAGCTTTTGCCAACGATTTCGCCCGCCTGAAATTAAAGTAACAGGTCATTAAGTACTCATTATGATTAGAAGATTCAAAATTATTTTAGTATATTTTTTTAAATTAAATCTACTAATCACAAAACAACACGCATTTTTATCCTATTCCATTCACAAAGTATTTTGTTTGTCTAAATAAAAAAAAATACAATCACAAAACTAGATAGAAATTCTATGTAGACAGATGTAATTTTATTAGAATGGGTACTGTAGGTAAGCAGCCCTATCGCATGTTGTCATACCGTGACGTACCGCGGGGCTGTTGACATTTTTTTCAAAAATATGGCCGAGTTGGAATACTGTATAGATAGTATTACCGTGCTTCTGGATCAATTTATATAGATTGAATGTTGATAAAACATTCCCTGTTGAAAATTTCAGGCAAGGAAACATGGATACTCATAGGTTCAATTTCATTTGTTGCAGGCCTGCGAAAGTGCTCAACAGTCCTCGCTCTGACTGACCGAGAGAAGGCCTCGGAGCCCATAAGGGCCCACAACCGCCTGCGGGCGCCCTCCGTCTGCTCCCGGTGTTCCTCTCTGCTGTCCCTCGCCGGCGCCGGAGGCTCCAGGTAAACTAGTCCTTAAGATAATAGCCGTAGAGTCCCGTTTGTATCTAGAGATATACATCGCGAGGAAACCCAGCTGGACACCCTTTTTATGAAACTTAATCAGATGTTGTTAGGGGTACAGATAAATTCAATTAGGAAATTGCCAAATGTAGTTCCAACATTTTCGTCACTGTCACAACTTGGGAAATAGTATATTATAGCAGCTAGTATCCTCGAGTAAATGGTACTCTTAAAGTTTTCTTTCTCTCTATTAGAGAACTGCCAGTTGTTCGGTTTGCCGCGATTCCGTAACAGTATGCTGGGATTTTGGTACAGATTGGCCACTTCCTACTTTCCTGGTATCTATACAATATCAAAAGGAGAACAGTAAATTTTCCAGCTAGCTTAGGATTCGCGCCGCAAAAAACCCATATCTTTGTCATCTGAAATCGACGACTGACGAACCAGTTACGGGACTATTCCCACCTCTTGTTTCCATCGCTGCTACTCCTGTATAGCCAGGATATACAGCTTGACCGCCAATAATAACCCAACCAGTTAAGGTCAAGTTTGTTGGTTAACCAGTTGTCGTCTCACCAGGTACTCCCTGGACGGTGCCGGCGGCGGCTTCGTGCCGGCTGCTCCCATCAACTGCAAGCTGTGCCTCGAAGACGCCACGGCTGACAAGGTCACCCTCATCTCCGGGTGTGGATGCTCCTTCTGCACTAAGGTGAGTTCTATTCAATATACCTACCCCTTACCACAAAAAATTGACGCGCGTTGAACACTAGTTCAAAATATCATTTCAATTTTAAGTAGTGCTTAACGCGTGTTTGGTTTTTTGGTAAGGCACTTAGGCCCAGAACAGACGGTGAAAAGCAACTGCAACGAAACTGCAACTGCTAGTTACTTTTGAGTTGCATCTAAGTTTCTGCTATAGCGTCCGTTGAGAGACCACTCATGACGCGACCAGTTTAAAACTTTCAAACTGGTCGTTGGTTGGTTGGTTGCAGTTTCGTTGCAGTTGCGTTTCACCGTCTGTTCTGGGCCTTAGGGCTCTTTAAAATAGAGGCGTGAGAAACTGTGTACTAATAATATAGTTTTTATACAATTTCTAGAAGCGTTAGGAGTTCAGACGTTTTTCGTGATTAAAGTTTCAGTTACGGTCTATTTTTAGCACCGAAATTGGGCACAAAATGTCTAGCCGAAGTTTTTTAGTGAATACCATAGTGTCTGTAGTCAGTCTGACAGCAAAAAGTTTACGCTAAATGTATAACTTTTAACTCTTAGAAGTTTCGGATGAATTATCTGTTTTAGTTGGTTTTAACATTAATCATGAACACAAAGATTGAATTGAAGTAAGATCAAGGAACAGAAAAAATTTTGTATTCGGATTTTTAATGAGAAAATGTTTCTTTACGATCGAATAATTCCCTTTTGAATGACGGTCATTATAAGGCACTCATAATACTATTAACAGTAGAGAAAAAAATTTGCTTGTGTCACTTACGGTTACGAAAATAAAGATGACCTACTAAGTAGTGTATTATTTAGGTTTTTACGACTAATTAAACTTAGAAATAGGCCTCGAAATATATTTCATAATTGAGTAAAAACGTCGCTATGCGTGGCCTTTGTAGAAATCTAAACGAAATTTTTACAATTCATGAAATTTGAATTAGGCAAGTTCGCAAAGTTTCATAATGAGTTGCTCTGAAAAGTTGCCCAACGCTGGAACTATGAATTTCAGTTTCGACAAACTTTGAATATGTGATTTGTTCAGAGTGAATGAAGGTCGTTTAGCTCATTTCGGTATTTATACTCAGTAATATAAAGCGAAAGGTGGACCGACGACATCCTAGTGGAGGCCTATGTTCAGCAGTGGACGTCCTATGGCTGAAATGATGATGATGATGAAAAGCGAAAGTTGGGTATCTTATTAATGTTTATTCTTTTGAATTTAAATGTGAGTGACGAATAGTAAAATTTAGACTGGTCTTTAAATAAATAGCTCTAGTAAGATTTTATGACTGTTTTGTCTCTGAGAAGCTCGGCAGACTTGTTGGCAAGACTTTTTTAATAATATCTAAAAATATTTCAGTGTAAATAACCTTTTGTCCAATAACAAATAAAAATGTAATGAGACTAAATACTTGGAATTGACTAAGTACCTTTAAAGACTTGCTTGAATTTCATTATAAAGCCTTAAAATTTTATTCTATAGCTCTTCTGAAAATTGTTGTGTTTACTTAGTAAAGCAAAAGACACAAAAGGCGTTGCGTCGATCAATGTTGTTTGTGATTAAATCAACGCGTTTTAATAAAAAATATATATTCTTGCTCTATGTTTTTACAAATTTGTATTCATTGAAAAACAATTTTCAACCTTCAGTCTTCGAAAACAGTCTGTATTTTTATTCAATGCGATCGAAAACAATGAACTGTGTCGTCGGAGCAAGAAAACAATGGAGCGGTCCAATGTTTTATTTAAATAATTTGCCCGAAGCCACTCCACTGCTGCGGCACAGTGGAAAGATAATCAGCAACCCCATAGTCGTCTGTGTATAAGAGTACCTCTTCTTGGTCCCACAGCTTGGTTAGTCCCTTAGGTAAAACAAAAAGGGAAGATACAGTACGCGCGTACATGCAATTAACCAAACTAAGCCCTGATAGGTCATCCAGTGAACGAGACAGAGCGAAGAGCTCCAAGTTTATTCCAAACAAAGAGTTCCAAATTTCCGCTCCAAAGTCGAAACTGTGTGAATGTACCTAATTTAGGTGAATGTACCTTGTGAGACATCTTCCCTTTTTATTTTAATCTAAGGTCAGTCCTCATCCTTAATACTTAAAAGGGGGACCACGATTCTGTAACCTCACACTAAGCTTCCATCCTCTCTCTGTACTTGCAAGGAAGACCATGACTCCAGGAACCTCCCAGTCCCAGCAGCCTATGTGCATGAGATGAGGGTCGTAACTCATAATCTCACAGCCACCACCTTTTACCAAGGAAAACTACACAATACAAATACCCATGAAAACACGTTTCAGGGCTCTGGTTAAATCAATTTCCTCTACCTATTAATAATCCCGAAAACTTATGATCCCAAAATAACCTATCAATAAACCGATAGCTAATTTAGATGCCCGAAATAAGTAACCAATATCTATATTTAATCGGCATGTGAGTACGTTTGTAATATCAGTAACCTGTTGAATGGTACTGCTGAATCTACCACTTACAGAATACTCGCTCCGAGTTTGTACCCCAACGCTCCAAAGGTCGGTTTTCCTTTGAATTGAAAGTATAGAAAAGCTGTTCAAATAATTATGTTTCTCTTTCAGTTGTTCAACGATCTGTACAGTTTATTGTGTAAGGAGTATTTGTTTGGAAAAGACGTAGATAACATCTTAAGTGTCTTATGAGTTGAACAACCTCATAATGCTTTTCATATTTTTATTTTTTTTTCAGTTTTCAGTCATATAAAATGAAATTGACCAATAAATTTTTACTAAGAGCTTACAGCTAAGAGGGTAGGCCTCCCACTAGGTGGACCGATGATCTGGTGAAGGTCGCGGGTAGTGCCTGGATGCGGGCGGCGCAGGACCATTCGTTGTGGAAATCCTTGGGGGAGGTCTTTGTCCAGCAGTGGACGTCATTTGGCTGAAACGAACGAAGGGTTACAATGTTAAGTAGTACTCACAATTTTCATATTTGTTTACATAGATATCTTTATCTGTTCAAAGCTTTTTATCTAAATATGAACGTAATAACGATCATTGATCACCGCCCGTGGCCACGTAAAACTTGTTATCACCATCATCGGATTACATTTCGATGCTTTCGCTATTAGCATTCAAATAGCGACTCTAAATCTTGTTCGTACGGTTCATTTGAGCTTGTATTGTTTGGAACAATGAAATTAACGAGCAAGCCGGTTAACTATGAGGTTAATTAGGGTTCTTGATGAATCACGGCTAATAGAAACGGCTATAAATAAAGCACGTGCGTGTGCTGTCAGTGCATCGCTTCTAATGTCTTTATTTTGTGTACTAGCTGTACCCGCGACTTCGTACGCGTAAAAACCCGTTTTCGCAACATTTTTCATTATTGCTCTGCTCCTATTGATCGTAGCGTGATGTTGTATAGCCTATAGCCTTCCTCGATAAATGGGCTATCTAACACTGAAAGAATTTTTCAAATCGGACCAGTAGTTCCGGAGATTAGCGCGTTCAAGTAAACAAACAAACAAACTCTTCAGCTTTATAATCCCAACTAATATTATAAATGCGAAAGTAACTCTGTCTGTCTGTCTGTCTGTCTGTCTGTCTGTCTGTCTGTCTGTCTGTTACGCTTTCCCGCTTAAACCTCGCAACCGATTTTGATGAAATTTGGCATAGAGATAGTTTGAGTCCCGGGAAAGAACATAGGATAGTTTTTATCCCGGTTTTTGAAACAGGGACGCGCGCGATAAAGTTTTTCTGTGACAGACAAAATTCCACGCGGGCGAAGCCGCGGGCGGAAAGCTAGTATTAGTATAGATTTAAAAGCAGCAAAGTATGAGCCAAGGAAGCAACTTCTGATGATTTGTGTCGGAAAGATTACAAAACGAAAAGAAGGCTCAGAACAGTGACACAAACTGAGCTGAGCGAACGATAGTTTAATTAAGAGAAGTGGACTTTTTATGCAGATTAGAATATAGAGTCTCCCCAGCTAATTTGCCTCTGCTAAATTAGATTGTCATGCTCCTGCAGTGGATACAAAATAAGGACCTTGTTCAACTTTCTTAGTGGTCTTTGAACATGGCATTCATTTACATTTCATAGAATGTCGTGTCCCGTAGCACGACCACGCTAAACGTACAACCATCATCAGCAGTTATAAAACACTAGCTTTTTTGTCCGCGGCTTCACCCGCGTGAAATTTAGTTTGTCACAGATCGTCATAAATTATAGCCTAATATGTTATTCTGGGTTATACACATTAATACTGTAAAGTTTCGTCAAAATCCGTTCAGTAGTTTTTGCGTGAAAGAGTAACAAACATCCAGACGTCTTTGATGAATGAATGATGTAGGTATAGTCCACGTTCTGTTGCTAATACAATATTCAAAAAGGTTAAGTTGTTCGTAAAAATAGATCTCGGCTAACTTAGCTTAAGGCTAAAGCGGGTCTCACAAGTTTTACAAAAATGACAACTTTTCTCTAGAAATAATGTTGGAAGAGCGCAAATATAAACCGTAATCCCACACATTTCTTTCCAACACATCAAGAAATTCTGTGCGAATATTGTACTCACCGGTATTAGGTATAAGGCTTATCTTATTTAACAGGCGTGCCCAGTAAAACCTCTTTTGTCCTTAGATCTTAGGTAAAACCAGGCATAAGCCGGCTGCAATCGCCCCCGTGTGTGCCCGGCTTTACCGAACCCGTGTAACCCAATAAAGTGTATAAATACGGCACACGTGCCGACCGAGGCTCCTATGCAGTGTGCTCTGCGATATGTATTCGATTCTATCTGTCCTATTCGCTCAAACTAGGATTGTGGGAGGTGTGAGAAAGATGGATGTACTCATATAAAAAATCCTTTATTTTTACTTCTACGCTGAAACTAAAAGTTGCTCGCGAACTAAATGTTACCTGTCTACTTTTAAAAGTGATTTAAGTGACAAAAAGTGACTCGCGAACTAAACGCTGAATCAAAATCCGGAAAAATCCAACTCCGCTACAAACT